ACAAAGATGTCCTTACCACTTCCATTTAACATTGTTCTGGAGTTTGCAGCCAGGGCAACTGTGTTGTGCTAGGCCTAGTTGCTCAGTCGTTTCCTACTCTTTGCGACCCCATGGACTGTATCCTGCCAGGTTCCTCTGTCCATGGGGATTCACCAGGCAAGAATACTGGAGTGGGTTGCCATGCCCTCCTCCAGGGAATCTTCCCACCCCAGGGATCAAACCCAGGTCTCCCACATTGCAAGTGGATTCTTTACCATCTGAGCCACTAGGGAAGCTCAGGGCAGCTAGGCAAGAGAATGAAATAAAAGCAGCTAGACTGGAAAAGATGAAGCAAGACTGTTTCTATTCACAGATGACATGATATTATATATAGGAAATCATAAGCAATGCACTAAAATACTATTAGAACTATTAAATGAGAACAGCATGGTTGCAGGGTATGAGATAAAAATACAAAAATCAACTGTATACTGGGGCTGCTAAGTCACTTCAGTCGTGTCCGACTCTGTGTGACCCCATAGATGGTAGCCCACTAAGCTCCTCCACCCCTGGGATTCTCCAGGCAAAAACACTGGAGTGGGTTGCCGTTTCCTTCTCCAATGCATGAAAGTGAAGTCGCTCAGTCATGCCGACTCTTAGTGACCCCATAGACTGCAGCCTACCAGGCTCCTCCGTCCATGGGATTTTCCAGGCAAGAGTACTGAAGTGGATTGCCATTGCCTTCTCCCCAACTATATACTACATACTTGCAATAAGCAATCTGAAAATAAAATTAAGAAAACAACTGCACTGAAAATACTATCAAAAAGAATGACAGAAATAAATTTAACGAAACAAATTTTGGGGAGTAAGGTATAGACTACTAGGTATAAAATAACCTATAAGTATACAACATGGAATATAGTCACTATTTTATAATAACCATAAATAGAGAATAACCTTTAAAAGTTATGAATCACTACACTGATCTGTAACTTATATAATGTAGTATAGCAACTATACGTCAATTAAAAAAAAAAAACCCCAAAATCCTTTACTTAAAAAAAAAAACAAGGAACGAATGAAATACGAATAAATTTAACAAATGAAGAGACCTGTACACCACAAACATACTGTCCCTGGATCCTTCTGTTTAGCTAAACAAAACAACTATCTGGTCTTAAAATGCATACAAGTACTTTATTATTTTTTGAAATATTTTATTTTTAATAGAAGACAAACTTTTCTCAGCTGATGTTCTTTTCCTGTTTTAAATCTATGCTTCTTAACTTTAACATGCACATAAACTAATGATTCTATGAAAATGCAGATCATTAACTATAACTAGGGGTGGAGCTAAGGTTCTTCATTCTTTTAATTAATTAACTCATTTAGCTGCAACCAGCCTTAGTTGTGGCACATGGGATCTTTGATAAGGCATGTGGGATCTAGTTCCCTGACTAGGGATTGAACCTTGGCCCCCTGCATTGGGAGCACTGAATCTTAGCCACTGTATCACTAGGGAATTCACCAGGTTTTTCATCCGTAACAGTTCCCAGACGATTCTAATGTTGCTGGTTCTGAGACTATATTTTGAGTAGTTTTTAAGTGCCTGTAGTTACATACAACTGTCCTTGTTCACCAGAAAAAAGCGAATGAGAGGAGTGAAAGTCTGATGAGCTGTCTAAGTTTTCCATAGCAAGGCATGGCATATTCCCCGCTGACAATTAAGGACAGACACTCGCCACCAGCCTTCCATTCTGGTCCCCACTAAGTATCAGGAAAGATGCAGACTTTGGCAGCCAGTCAAACAGACCAAGGCTAAATCCACGGGAAAACTCTTTTAATACCTGCTACACAAAGACCATCTCAAAGAATGTTAACAATCAGCTCTTCCTCTCTGAATCTTTTCTCTTGTCTCTTATTCCTTCTTTTGGCCAGTGTCTCCTAAGTGTCTTTGGGGGATCAATGGTGGTCCCTGGCAATCAACTGGTTTACTATAGACAATTTGGTTAAAAAAAAAAGTGATAAAAGCTTTGATCACAAACATTTCATAAACTGAAAAGATTAATTATGACTTTCAAGGAAATTCTTTTAGGTTCTTAACTGTTATGTTATAAGGGTCACATATGCTTTACAAGGTTAAGAGGAGACTGACTGTTTCAGCTAACAAACTTCGACATCATGAGTTGTTTACACTGGTTAAATATATTACTTTGCTGTTGTTCTTATCAGTGTGTTGTCTCTAATTTAAGTAATCAATGCCTCAAAAGCATTCACTGAAGAGTAGAATGATGAAAACATACTTGACTCAAAATGATAAATAGTATGATCTTACACAGTGATAACAGTAGGATCTTAGAGTAGGCTGTGACCAGTGAATTACAAGTTATTAGTCTGCACTAGGGGACCTCCTTATTCCCATCAAAGTACAACACATTTTAAAACAGGGACTAAATAATTATAAAATAGTAATAAGAAGCCATTGAAGTCTTCATACAATTTTTAACCACTGTAGTAAACCAACTGATACTTGCATTACAAATTTTGTCATTGACAGCAAAGATTAAAAACTGTAAAGGAACTTTAACATATTTTAACAAAATCAAGTGTAACTGTAGTCATCTGCAAAACTAATGACAAATATGCTCAGAAAGAAAACAATCTACTGGTATATTTCTGTATCAGATGACACTACTGGACATTATATAACAGGTGTCATATTCAGGGAGTAAGAACAGTTAGTATCACAGATGTATGCTCTTAAATATTTTATGAATGACTACAAGAAACCACTAGTATTCAAAGTATGAATCAACCTTTGGCATATATATAACCTGTAAATAATGAAATAAAACTTTAATTCTGATTATCAATGAAAACATGCTTTAGAGAGGGATTTTCTTTTAACCAACAATTATCTTTGAACCTTAACTTGAAAACATACACTAGGATCAACATAGCCAAAAGCACTAGTCATGTGTAGCCAGGAACATTATGGCACCTAAAAGTCAATTCACACAAGGCTTCATTTATAGGCAACAGCTGGCGTTTGACAGTTAAATTTTCCATTGAGTCTGTTAAAGATTGCATAGAAAATTGTGAACTGCAGCCCCTGAGCAGATATCCTCAGCATGTTATGTCAGGAAAAAAGAAGTAAGCACAACACTCTGCTTTTTTATCTTGTCAGGAGGAAAGATGCTACCAAAAGCTATTCAAATGAGGATATACATTGCCACCCCATGACACTGATAAGGTCAGTAAAAAAATTTCTGTGATTATCTGTGGCTTACTCAAGTGGCAGATCTCTATGAGACATATAGTATAGTGAACAGCTTGAACCCATCATAGCTGAAATTCTTCAGGATAAAATACAAAGGCCAAATCATGATACACACAGCTTAACCATAGTTTGACTTTTCCAACATCTAGCCATGCTCTATCCTTGTTGTAGAATGGAACAGGTGTCTTTATTATTAGTATACTTAGAAAAATGTATTCAGTTACCACACCAGACCTAAAAAAATGTATTTCCTAGAACTGAAATACACCAGAAGGACAGATTTACCCAGTGCCACTTTCCGAACTGAAATAGTCAACTTCATTGCTGAGTGCCATACATTTGTCAACTCAACATTGTAGGTAGTTTTCAGTGAGATTTCTTGCAATAATTTTGGTATTCATCCATCTGAATATCTAAAACATCTAGAAGAATCATCCTATATTTGCTGCTGAAACATCCTATACTTGGTTGTTGGAAATATTCAACAATCTATAGTTGAAAAGTGGGATTATCTGATTTAGCAGAATGAGGAGGACAAGAAACTGCAGCTTTGGCTTCAGTGAGCCAGGTATCAATGTGGTGAAAGACTGCAGCAGTAACTGCTTTTCATGATGTGTAAAAGACCCATCAGTGAGATCCACAAAAGCTATATGTTCAAAAAATGGTACTTTCTCTCCTACATTATTTTTCTTTCATAGAAAACTATCACTTCTTCCTATGCATTATGTTAGCGAAATATAGACAACTATGGAAATTTTTATTGCCCTTATTATTAATCTTCTCACATTAGAAAAGCACATCATCTGCATTTATGTAGCTTTATTAAAAAAAAAGTCTGATTTCAATATGTATAGCACCTAGAAAAAAATAACATATCTAATAATTTCCAATTTCTCCTTGAAACATTCCTCCACAAAGTCATTTTTGCCTTCGGACCTTCCGAAAAACCAAACTGCTTTCAAACACTTCTTGACTGTAGTCAAGGATGATATTAAAAATGTTTAATAACATTTTTATTATATGGCATGGCATAACCACCAGAGAGAATGACACCAGTTCGTAATCACATTGCTGTATTGAAACATGCTAACTAAATACCAGTGTTAGTTACAGCTTCCTTTAAACATTTCTGCTACACTTATTTCAACTCTAGCCTCATTCTCAAAGACTATTGGTTATTTCTCGCTGGCCAATTCACAGAAAAAGGAAAGTAATTTTCACAAAAGAGAGCCATATAAACTGGATTCCAAAGATGAATTTAACACTGTATTTTATTAAATATTTAATGTCCTTACTTTCATTCCTTAATATAAAAATGAAGAATAAGTATTAGAATAACTATTGTTTTCTTGCTCTCACACCACTGGTTTCCAGAGAATGGGGCTCCTTAGCTTTTTATTATAGTTGTGTTACTTGATTTTATCTACATAACTAGATATTCAAGTTCTTTATCCGTTCAACCAAATGAAAACATTTAATACACAAATGGATAGATTTGGGAATATATTAAGTATAATGTAAACTGTTAGCAAAACAAATAAATATCTGACATTTAGAGATAAAACAGAAATGGAATAGAGAAACTCACAAAAAAGCAAAGAGATGAGTCACTTAAAGATAAACCTAGGCTCTTAAAGAGTCACATACAATGTAAGAACATGATGTGTGTGTATATATATGTGTATATATATATATATATATATATATATATCTGTGTTGGTTTTAGGGATCTTCTTACCCAACTTTGGAAAAACTATTAAGTATTCAGCATTGCACTGAGGACATGCCACTCTGGCTGTACTGTTTCCTCTTTGTTTTTCATCCACCCAGCGCTGTAGACAAGCCTGGTGAACCCATTTTGTAGATCCTCTGCACCTGCATGGTCTCACCCATTCAGCTGTTCTATCATCTTCATCAGTGGCAAAACACACCCAGCAACTTCTGTAAATTAAGAGAGAAAACAATGATATTATTATTAACACTCCAGCCTCCTCTTCACTGCAGCTCCACTTAATGGGATGAACCTACTATGTTATATTACAGAACCTTAAATTCTATATTAAAAGACTGAGGGGAAAAATAACCAACACATTTCCAGTACAGTAGTTTCTCCTTTTTTCTTTTTTCCTTGTGTTCTGCAGAGTCTTGTGTTTTCTGAATTTTGTTTTTACATAACTTCCTCAATCTTTCTAGTAATTTTTCACCTTCTCGAGTGAACCAGAATGCAAAGAGACAATCCTCAAGCGCTTTTATAAGACCTGATAATTCTTGAGGAGTGGTAAGTACAGGAATAAGTGAAATTCAGTGTATCTCCAATTTCAACAACATTAATCTTTTTAAAATATAAATTTATTTATTTTAATTGGAGGCTAATTACTATATTGTAGTGCTTTTGCCATACATTGACATGAATCCGCCACAGGTGTACATGTGTTTCCCATCCTTTCAATTCTGGTTTCCTCGGTGTGTATGCCCAGCAGTGGGATTGCTGAGTCATATGGCAGTTCTATTTTCAGTTTTTTTAAGGAATCTCCACACTCTTCTCCATAGTGGCTGTACTAGTTTGCATTCCCACCAACAGTGTAAGAGGGTTCCCTTTTCTCCACACCCTCTCCCGCATTTGTAGCTTGTAGACTTTTGGATAGCAGCCATTCTGACTGGTGTGAAATGGTACCTCATTGTGGTTTCGATTTGCATTTCTCTGATAGTGAGTGATGTTGAGTATCTTTTCATGTGTTTGTTAGCCATCTGTATGTCTTCTTTGGAGAAATGTCTGTTTAGTTCTTTGGCCCATTTTTTGATTGGGNTTGGAGAAATGTCTGTTTAGTTCTTTGGCCCATTTTTTGATTGGGTCATTTATTTTTTTGGAACTGAGCTGGAGGAGTTGCTTGTATATTTTTGAGATTAATTCTTTGTCAGTTGCTTCATTTGCTATTATTTTCTCCCATTTTGAAGGCTGTCTTTTCACCGTGCTTATAGTTTCCTTTGTTGTGCAAAAGCTTTTAAGTTTCATTAGGTCCCATTTGTTTATTTTGGCTTTTATTTCCAATACTCTGGGAGGTGGGTCATAGAGGATCCTGCTGTGATTTATGTAGGAGAGTGTTTTGCCTATGTTTTCCTCTAGGAGTTTTATAGTTTCTGGTCTTACGTTTAGATTTTTAATCCATTTTGAGTTTATTTTTGTGTATGGTGTTAGAAAGTGTTCTAGTTTCATTCTTTTACAAGTGGTTAACCAATTTTCCCAGCACCACTTGTTAGAGATTGTGTTTTCTCCATTGTATACTCTTGCCTCCTCTGTTGAAGATAAGGTGGATATAGATGCGTGGATTTATCTCTGGGCTTTCTATTTTGTTCCATTGATGTATATTTCTGTCTCTGTGCCAGTACCATACTGTCTTGATGACTATAGCTTTGTAGCTTTGTACCTAAAGTCAGGTAGGTTGATTCCTCCAGTTCCATTCTCCTTTCTTAAAATTGCTTTGGCTATTTGAGATTCTTTGTATTTTCATACAAATTGTGAAATTATTTGTTCTAGTTCTGTGAAAAATACCATTGGTAGCTTGATAGGGATTGCATTGAATCTAGAGATTGCTTTGGGTAGTATACTCATTTTTCACTATATTGATTCTTCCAATCCATGAACATGGTATATTTCTCCATCTATTTGTGTCCTCTTTGATTTCTTTCATCAGTGTTTTATAGTTTTCATTACATAGGTCTTTTGTTTCTTTAGGTAGATATATTCCTAATTATTTTATTCTGTTCATTGCAATAGTGAATGGGATTTTTTCCTTAATTTCTCTGTTTTCTCATTGTTAGTGTATAGGAATGCAAGGGAATTCTGTGTGTTAATTTTATATCCTGCAACTTTACTATATTCATTGATTAGCTCTAGTAATTTTCTGGTGGAGTCTTTAGGGTTTTCTATGTAGTGGATCATGTCATCTGCAAACAGTGAGAGTTTTACTTCTTCTTTTCCAATCTGGATCCTTTTATTTCTTTTTTTGCTCTGATTGCTGTGGCCAAAACTTCCAAAACTATGTTGAATAGTAGTGGTGAGAGTGGGCACCCTTGTCTTGTTCTTGACTTTAGGGGAAACGTTCAATTTTTCACCATTGAGGATAATGTTTGCTGTGGGTTTGTCATATATAGCTTTTATTATAACATTAATCTCTTAACCTCTTGAACTTGGAGAACAAAAGCATTACACAAATGATTTCTCATTCAATTTTCACCTGAGAGAGAGAAAAAACCCAGTCATTGTTCTTTCTGATAAAGTACGACTATAAGAGAGAAAGATGATTAAATTTAAAAGCACAAAGGAAAGAATAGATGAAGACATCAGGATAAATTGCTTTTGGATAGTGAGATGATAAATTTGGGCTTACGTGTTTCCATTACAGGTATGAGTGGCTTTCCTTTTTTCTCGAATTAAATTATATTTATTATATTTGAAACCTAGAAATCTCAAGTCTGGGATGCCTGTATTATAAAAAGAATCTTTATTGAGATGGTTAATTTTTAAACTTTTTCCCATTTTGCTCTTAAGGGTACTTCATGAACTCTAATTTGTTCTTGTGGAATTAGGTTGCAATTCCTTATTTTTTCCTCCCAATTAACACAAGTTTTGACATCTATTTCCACTAGGGCAAATATTACAGTTTAACTCAATGACATCATTCACTCCCTTCTATTACCACTGCACAAGAGGAAAACAACTGCTAATTAAAGCTTGTCACCTACTGTGCACTTTTCACTTAATTAGATAAGTTGGCTTCTGTTACGAAACTAGCTTAACTATGCTCAGTGGGAAAGACTTATATAGTCAGGTACTGTAGATAAGTCTCCAGTCTTTGTAGATCAACATGAATTTTAATCGAATGCACCAATTAAAACTTCTTAGAATAGGGGGAAAAAATTGAACTGAATACATGGTAACAATATCCAAAATCGTGTTTTTACTCAGCTTTCAAAATCAGATTTCATATGACCTACCTAGGTAAAACTGGAGGGAGGTAACATTTGTTTGAGCATGCTTGACTGTCTGACTCACCTCAGCCAATATGTCTGGGCCCTTGTTCTATATAAAGGTTAAACAGAAATGTCTCCTCCTCTACCTTATTTTTGTTAACTTTACTGTGGTAAAATATACACAACATAAAACTTACTACACTTTAACCACTTTTAAGACTACAATTCAGTAGCACTAAGTCATTCACACTGTTGTCCAACCATTACTACTACCTGTGATTTGACTGGGTTTAAACCTAGTTTTTTTCATAAAATTTCAGTTGACAAGTATAGAGCAAATAGGCCAGTTATTTGCAGTATTAGTATATATATTTCCCCATAACCAAGGTAATTTTGTAAATATATTTATCGTTGGCAGAATGAAATGTATTATTTTGGTAACAAAATATAGGCAGAAATATCTAGAAACTAGACTTCTAGGTTCTTGTAAGTTTTTCATATCAACAATGGAACATACATGTAGCTAAATGAAACTGAATCAAAAATTAAGCCAATTTCCAGTCATCAGGAAAAAACAAAATGTAAAAATATTAATTCAGTTCAGTCACTGTTGTGTCCGACTCTTTGCGACCCCATGAATTGCAACAAGCCAGGCCTCCCTGTCTATCACCAACTCCCGGAGTTTACGCAAACTCATGTCCATCGAGTCAGTGATGACATCCAACCATTTCATCCTCTGTTGTCCCCTTCTCCTCCTGCCCCCAATCCCTCCCAGCATCAGGGTCTTTTCCAATGAGTCAACTCTTCACATGAGGTGGCCAAAGTACTGGAGTTTCAGCTTCAGCATCAGTCCTTGCAATGAACACCCAGGACTAAGGATTAATTAGGTTGAACCAAATGAACTGCCTATATTTATGTTTTTAACTTGTATTTAAATGGCAGTTTCACATATCAATCTAATGGGAATATTTGTATAGCTATAATCCCTACAAATTCTGGATAAGAATAAGCCTATTTCCACACTGCCCCCCCCAATATGAAAAATTTCAAACTTTGAGTATACAGCTTAAAAATTTGGATTTTTAAGCTAATGCTCACTAGAGATTAACTGAAATTATTCTATAGAAGGGATATTTAAAAAAAGAACCCTATTGATAACAATACTCCCAAAAGGTTTGCTGATTTTCAACATCTACCAACTTACCACATACACTTTCCATTTATTCTAATCACTTAACATTATATCTGATGGCCATCTGAGATCAAATAGTACTGCCCACAATATGTAAATTCCCAATAATACCACCAAATTACTCCATCTAAAAATTATAACTTAGATGCAAATAAATATGAAGACTTATAACTTAATAGTACAAAACAAGCACACAAAAGAAATTGCCAGTAACATACACTGTGCATTCACTGATTCCATGTAGTTTCACTGGTTCCATGAAGCTGCATAAACAAAATAAATGGAAGCATGCGCCTATCCAGAAAACTCTATAATTTAATTTGGGCTACATCTAGCAGATACAAGATATTTACAGTTCCAGTGAAATTACCAAAGGTATATCCTTCCCTATTTTAAGAAGAAGGAAGGATCAATCTGGATAGATCAGAGAAGGCTTCAGGAAGGCGTGACAGAAGAAATTTGCAGGGACAAGTGATTTTATCATAGGGATTCTCAAAACAAAGTTCTCTGAGACCAGCAGTTCAGAATCACTAGGAAACTTGCAAATTCTCTGGCTCTACTCCAGACCTAGTAAATACAAAACTCGACAGGAAGAGGGCCTAGAAATCTGTTTTAACAAACCCTCAAGGTGACGAGGTATTTAGTTTGGGAACTGCTAGTACAGAAAAATGGCAGGTTAAAAAGAAGCAGAGAGACTGGAGAAAGCAAACTGTGTGAAAGTGATAATTACTGGACTTACTTAAGGTAGAAATAATAGCTTCTGATGACTATATTTTTA